TTTATATCCAAAAAGTATATTTTTAAAATTTTATATTAAATAAACAATATATATAAATTTTTTTTGCTTCTAATTAGATTGCAAATGTAAGCATTTATTAATCTTATTTTAAGAGAATAGTAATACAATATATATGATACTATACTAAAGCTAAACTAGCACAATTTTGCAAAATTCTTGTTAATAAGTTTTGAATTCTCTAAATATAAAAGAGTTAACTCAAAAGATTCACTTACTATAGCAACAAACAGTACCAACAACTCCAAAAACAAGAGCCTACCTACCTTCAACTATTCATAATACCAAGTATTCAAGGTATAACAAAAACAAAAGCAAAATCAACAGTTAACAACATCTGAAATGAGTGGTAACAAGATTATAGGAAATAATAATATTGCTTATTTTTAAGACAAAACATTAGAAGTTTATGTCTTGAAAAATCATTGCCAACTTATATTCAGACTGTCATTCAATATGAACTTGTAGTTCTAAAAAGTAAAAATTTTTATTTTTTTAAAAAATAAAAGTGGAAGGGAAAAGGGGAAAAAAAAGATTTGTATTGATAAAACAAAAACTTTTTTTTGATTACTATTTAGTCTGACTATCTGCAGCTGACTAATTATTTAATTTCCATTATTTTATTATTAATCAAGAATATTTAAAGGCACTTCTAGAAAAATATTTCTTGAAACTTTATACTTGAAGACTTCTAACCTTTAGAAAGAGTTGGTATTAATTGATAATTTCTCTTCCAGCTAATTCTCTAAGGATTTATGGCTTTATTCTATTAATAGATAGTTTCAAAATCTTTTTCTTTAACTATTTTTAAAATAATTAACAATAGAGTTAGCTTATTACTGGATTGGAATAAAACTTTTCTTTAATCTTGAAAAGAAACAAAACCAGTTCAAAAGAGAAGAGGGAAAGTATCAAATTACTTTTTTAACCAAAGAGTACATTTCATTACCTTGCTCTTTTTACAGTTACTAATTATATTATTTAATATAAGTTGCATAAGATGAAACATATAGGATTTACATGTCTTGTTTACATTTCTTGCTACATGTGGATCAACCAATCCAAATTTCAAGCCAATTATCATTCAAAGATTTCAATATAATAAAAAATTTAAAATCAAACTAAAGTAGACAAAATTATTTAAAAAAATCAAAAAAAAATATACAACTTGAGAAGATAGAAAAGTGACTTGAGAAAGATGAGAGAAGAGTTCCAAAAGTTAATAATAATCTTCTCTAGAGTCTTGAACCTCTGGAGGAAAAAGGAATATGTTTTTTTAACAAGTTCTTTTTCTTAACAAAATATTTTTGCCTTTGACTTTATAAGTAAGTTTTTCTTATATTTACTTACAGAAATACAAAGAGTTTATATCAAAAAAAAAAAAAAAAAAGTAAGAAAAAACAGCAATCTTTGGATAGTAATGTTATTAAAAAATGTATATAAACTTTATTATAGAAAAATATAAAATTTCTCTAGAATGTTTGTTTTTGAATTGGCAAAAGAATTAGTAGAAAAAGTTTTTATAAACAATATACTGTATATTATATTATACTATATTATTATTATTATTATTATTTTCAAATATAAAGATACCAATAATATAAAAACTTTATTGAATAATTTATATTTAATTATATAAATACAAGATTCATTTAAGTTAATTAATATCTTTACCTATAGTCTTATTCAATTATATAAGTTTATTATTGTTAGAATATGTTTATATATTTAAGTGAAATCTTTAAAAAATAAAAATATTATTACTAATTTATAAACTATCTAACTTAATTTAGATTCTAGTTATTATTGAAAGTGTATACCTTTTAAAATTAATTAAAATATCTAAATAATTTATTTAATATTTTTTATTTAAAATATTGAAAAAGATATTATACTTATTGTTACTATTTGTAACTTTAAAATTTTTTTTTTATTTATTATAATTATCTGGCTGAAAGTTATTTCTATAATAAATGTTTATATTTATCTAAAATAATACTATCTAAAACAATGATATAACATATTGGTATTAATAATATTTAACTATTATTGAGATTACTTCAAATAATAACATTTGCTATAGCTTGATTCTAATCTATATTAGATATAGAAGCTAATCTACTGAATAAATAAATCCTTTTATTTGATTAGTAGTATATATATTTATTGATAATTGACTAAGCTTTATTTTTATTGGAAAAGATTAAGAGAAAGTTTTGAAGAGAGGCACTGAAAGTAATATTTTATAACAAATAAAGCTACAAAATTCTTACTTGTTCTATTGAAAATAAATTCCTTTATTATCACTTGTAACTAAGCTAACTATTTAATTTCTTATTTATTCAAATAATACTTAAGAATATTCAAGATATTTATAACTGATATTTATTGCCTGAACACTGATTTACATAACTTTTTAGAAAATAGAACTTATTGTTAGATACCTTCTTGAGATAAATATCATCAAACCAGTTTATTACTGGATTGGAATAAGACTAAGGCAAGAATTTGTATAAAAAACATCTGATATTAAGGAAGTAATTACCAAACTTATATGTTGAATGCAGATATTTTGTATACTTTGCAACTTCTGATAATTATTATAATATCAACTGGACAATTGTTATGCAACAATACCTTTTCTGAAAATTACAATTTTAATATCTATTGGATCAGCATATGAAATGGCTTCTTATAAAAAACAGTACTTTTACAAATTATAGTATTAGATATTATATTAATTTTATTCAATTGTTCTCATATGGGATTAAACTGATATCTTGTGATTTAACTTGTAAAATATTAATTACTATACTATAAACCTATAGATCTTTGTAACTTCAAATTTCATTTTTTATTAAGTTCTCTTTTTTTAAGCAAGCATTAAATTGGAATAATCTTAAACTAATATATTCTTTATATTATAGTGTTTGTTATATCAAAAGAGATTATAATTTTTGTAAAAATTAAACCAAAAGTCTTTTCTTATATAATCTTTTAATTTTAACATGTTTTCAATTCACAATTATTAAAAAGACCAGAGGTTTTATTTTCATGTAGCTTAATTAAATTTGATTAGAATTCAAATATTTGGATAGAAAAACTAGTAAATTTATATATAAATAAAATTTTTGTATTTGTTTTCTATAAATATTGAACTAAGATATTTATATAAAAAATTATTTATAAGAAAAGTTTTTTTCTTTAGAAAATAATAAAATTATTTGATTTTTCTTTAATTTAATAAAGTTTTTTTTATTAATTACAAACAATTATCTTATTTATAATATTTTTTAATATTAAATATTACAAAAAATATGTTTTTATAAAATTTTTTTCTATATAACTAAAAAATAAATAAGACTTATAAACTTGAATAGATTTCAATTAATTTTATTTTGTTATATTGGTTATTTTTATTGTTTTTGAATTTTGAGTTAAGATTTATTTGTAATAAAGATATAATATATTTTTTCTTAATTAAAATTACTATAAATAAAGTTTTTTAAATAAAATAAATATAAGTAAAAAAGAGTTTTTTTTAAAGTAATTTATATTTTAAAAAAAGATTATTAATATAATAATAGTATAAGATAAGTTTTATAAAAATTTTATTTTTAAAACCTTGTAATAAAAAAAAAATCAAGAAATTATTAAAATTATTAAATAAAAATGTAAATGAAATTTTTCAAAATTATGAATTGATTTTCTAATAGGACCATTATTAAAAAAATATAAAAAACAATGTTATCTTAAAATTTTAAAATTAGATTGATTTCTAATAAAAAAAAATTTTTTTAAAGACAGAATTATAATTAATTAATCTTATGGTTTCAATAAAAAAAAGATGTAAATTAATAATTGAAAATAATAATAAAAGAATCAATTATTAATTCTATATCAATATTTCGTTTTGCAATACACTATACATTTTATAAGTTTGTTAAAAAAATTACTTTTCATAAAATTGTAAGATACAAATAATAAGTTATCAATGCGTCAATTTCTTAAATGAAACTCGCTCAAGTTATTAAAAACAATAAATATTAAAAAATTTTTTTTAAAATTAATCCGATAAAAATATATTTACAATTTTTTTGTAAGGTGAAAATCTTCAAAATTATAATTGGTATTAAACAAATATAGTAAACCAGAGAGATATTAAATAATTTATACATGTAACAAAACAAAAAAATAATATATTTTTTTTGATTATCCCGACATTAAAAAAGTTTTTTATTGGTTTTTTAAAATTGAATTTGATCGTGGATCTGTTTTTTCGAACGTTCTTAAAATAAATATTTACATTAAAAATCATCTTTTACAAACATTTATACAGTTAAAATTTGCAAATAAAGATTTTTTTGGTAGAACATGTATGTTCAAGATCATTTCAAACGTACAGTATACATGTTTCCAGTAAAATGAGATAGTCACACAAGAAAATGACACCCTCTAAGGACACAAGTTTTATAGATACAACATATTTTTTACTTTATTGTGTTATCTAAGTAATATTTAATGAATGAAATGATTGTTAATAAGGGAACCATGAATTCGTGATACACAAGCAATGATTTGGATAAGGTAAATTAAGGAGGTCATTATGAAAAGAGAGAGAATGCAAATTTATATTCTTCTTAGAAACTACTTTTGGGATTTTTCGGACTTTTAGCACCGCTTGAACCAAAGAGCCTAATACTGAACGGTCTAATTCCCATTAGTCCAACTTAATCAAACTGTGCTAATTAATAATAACAAATGATAAATTTAATCAATAAAGAATTGATAATTGTGGGTCAATTAAAAAAGGAAAAAAAGAAAAGTCTATGAATATAAACAATATAGAATGCCAACCATGATTAAATTATTATTACAGAAATTGAAAATAATAGGATTCTAATTTTTTGAAAATAAATAAAAATATAGTCCACGGAACTAGAAATTTTGGTAAAGAATCGTTATGTTACATCCTTTTGGAACTATAACTCCTCATTCGCTAACATTCCATGAGAATCTTCAGTAGCAGAAACTGAGGAACTAGATTTGTGTGAGCGGATGCTTTCTTCTTCTCCAGTAACATCAGATTTACGAACTTGAGAAGCTAAATATTTCTCTGTCTTGATGAATTTAGGTACTGAATCTGAGGCCAGAAGCCTGAAGATAGTGTCCTCAATCTTATCATACAAATGACCCGTTATAGTATTCTCAGTGTCATCTGATTCATTTTGTGGATCCGTGTTTGGACTTTTACTAGCCGTCACGATTGAGGTCATGTATTGAATCATATGCTGCCTCAATCCGTGATCAATATTTAGTTCGTTGGGGGAACCAGGGGCCAGATAAGTATTGTAAATTCGGAATGCATCGGAGATGAGTCTCTCTTGTTCATGAAGACCTAGTGATCTACCGTTCTCACCAGCGTTTGTGTCGTATCTCTTCTTAAATTTTTTAACATCTAGTAAGAACATTAAATTTTCTTCGCAAAAATTTGCTTTCGAAAAGTCCATAAAGAGGGAACACAAATTTGGATCTTCCAAAATCTGCTGAAGTTTCTTGGCATTGGATTCTTTTGAGGAAGAATAGTTTAGCCCATCTTTGTCACTTGTTGAGCTTTGTTGAGATCTATGACGTCTGAGAATCTTGCCATTAATGCCTGGAACTTGGGTCCCGGAATCCATGGTAGACAAACCACTGCCATCATCTGAATGATGTTTCTCTCCGTTTCGTGAAGAATTGATATTCTTATTTCTAGCATTCTTAATATTGTGATAACTCAACATTTCTCGTAAGCTCACATTCTTTTCGTTACCTCCATCCGTATGGGTGCCACTTAAATATGCTTGACTGGAATGATCGTGATTCCACATGGCGAACCTACTTCCGCTCTCTGAAATACGATAATAGACAGATTTCGAGTGTTTGAACGTCGGCAAACTCGGTTTATCTGATTTCCGTTTGTGATCACTGCTTTTATCCGAAATCAATTCTATCCAACCGCAACGCAAAAACTCGGTTGCCATCTTCACGGCTTCTTCCTTGGTGATCAATGTTGAAAAATCACACAGCCAATCGGTGGCAGCCGCACCAGAGAATGTATGACGATATAATTTGTGGTTGACTGTGCGATCTTTAACACCGATTCCGTGGTTACGGTTGATCCTCTCATGGGATGAACCAGATGTTTCATCTAGATAGGTTTCCTTATCAACGTCGTCATATTTATTAGTGATGTCGTTAGGTTTTTTTCCAGCGAACCTCTGAAAGGTTGACTCGACGTTTTGACTACTAAGGACAAGGGAATCATTTTCCGGGCTCCTTTCAACAATGTGCAATTTGATTGGCGCCGATTGCAAAGCAAATAATTTTGCCAGGTGTGGAGCTGAGATACAATTCCTGGTGACGAAACGTTCCAATATGTACAGACCTTTTGGCGTAAGACCATAGAAGCATTTGTCCTTGAAGGTTCGACTGCTCGAGTCGGCGAGGTTTTCGAATAACCTAGCGTCCATAAAAGTTTGGCACACACTTTTTGCCATATCTTTTGTCATGCTAAAAGTTGTGGTAGTTGTGGTCGTTACTATGCGTGAGGGATCTTTGGGATCAGGCATTCGATGTGACTGCGTAAATTTCAAAGAACCCAAATTGGCTATTGCCTCTTCGGTTGTGAATGAATTAAAATAACTTCGAAATAAATTTCGATGAGTCTCCATAGGTAAAGAAACGACCAGCGTAGAATACAAATCATGGATATCCTGAAAGAGTTGAGCATTGAGCGAAGAGGTTAATATCAGTAACATTTTCCAACATATGTTGGCCATGAATTAAAATTTGGTTGGTTTAACTGTGGCAATTTTCAGGGTGATGACTTCTTTTTGTCTCAGTCTCAGCGTGAAATTCCAACTATTGGGCCATTGAGCGAAGGCGACTAAACCGAAAAAAAAAACAACAACCAACCTTAACGAAAGGCCTTCCAGACCTCGTTGTCTTCATCATATGAGTCGAAGACTGTTGCTGAATTTGTGACTGAGTTAACGCCATGTTTGTATTATTTCTTTTTCCTATTGCAAAAAGGAAATTTTTATAGCAAAAGAGTGTGCGGTTGAACTTTTACAGACGAAAAAATTCTGACGAAAGGGTGAATCACTGCAAGCATTAAAGAAAGAAATATAAATGCGATACTGTAGTACGTTGTCTTGTGCTCTCTTTTTATAGTGGCTGCCTTTTACAGATTATATAAATATGATAAGTATATTATTAGATATCCGCTGTCCAACATTTGAATCTTTAAATGCATACAACATGTATAATCACATTTCCGAATTAATACTAAATCAATCTTTGATGACAAGGTTTGTGCGACATCATTCTATTTTAACTCTTACATTTGCAAAAATAATGATAACCGTTGTTGTGTTTCATCCTTTATCCTCGTTGTTTCATATTTGTTGATTCGGGTAATCCCTTTCGTCATATAATTTGTTGACGACGAAGCTTAAAAGAAGAAATAATTAAAATTAAGAAATAATCGATGCATTGTCATGTAAGACGATACCCCGTTTTAACTTGGCGAACTCCGTTTCTTTTCCCAGAAATCCAAAATACAGTTCTTATTAAATTATGAAAATCTACCCGTGCATATCTAATATCTAGTCTGTTGTACTGTGACATGTGTGCGTGGACCTGAAATTTTTTCCATTCCCGTGCAACATTTTTTATTGGATGCACAAAAAGTATTGCAATTATATAAATTAATTTGGGCAAAAAACATCTCATGCCAGAAACAAACAGCCGCGAGCATGTGATACATACATACTGTATATGGTCTCACACAAAAATTCGTAAGGGTGCATGCACCCGGATTCGAGCTATTGAATCATCTCGTACATTAGCAGTTAGGAATTTTTGAGTCAAAGACAACATTATGATTGCTCGTATTGCTTTACCATAGAATTTACCGATTCGTTCGAGCATTGGTTAATAAATTTAAAATTTAATTAGAAGTTGATTTCACGATGACGCCAGTAAAGACCCTTTTTTCTGCTGAACAGATATGGTTAATCGCGTGGAATGACACCACGCGAAAGAAATCGGTCGGTGTCTATTTCTAATCACGCTGGAGGTGCATAACCGTACATTGAATTATTTGAAATATACTTAATCAAGAATGCTAGATGCCAGGGATTCATGTTACGTATTACATACTGGAAAGGAATTATAAATATTTAACTTCGTGTAACGGTTGCACGACAATCGATCAGTCTATTCGTCAAAACTTCTTCATTCTGCTCACTATACCTTACCTTCATTCTACGTGAGTAAGATGGCAGGCGAGAATGACGAACCCTCGCTTGAAATTAATCAAATCCAAGAAAGTTTTTCACCTCTACAAAGTGATCAAAGAGTTTCCACTCCCCTTGAAATATACAGTGACAATCCAAGTGTCACGTCAGTTACTGCACCATTGCTATATACCTCTTTTGAAGGACCTGAATGCACAAATGGCTATAAATGTGGTGGCGAAGACGAAGACAGTAGTTTCTTCAAAAATAAATTAGCGGAGCAAGGTGAAAAGAAGCTGTGGATTGCTATTTGTATATCTTTGCTCTTTTTTTGTATAGAACTTACTGGCGGTTTGCTTGCTGGGAGTTTGGCTTTGTTAAGTGACTCGTTTCATTTACTGAGCGGTGAGTTTTAGATTATATTATCTACTTGTATGTGAATCAAATGAAAGGATGATTGATTTTTCACTTTACCTTATAGATGTCGTTAGTTTTGCAATTTCACTATTATCTATATACCTTGCGCGTCGACCCGCAACAAAATGTAAGTATTTGCGATTGATAGTTTGTCGTCGACATATTATTAGCAATTAAATTTTAGATTATCTTGCCTTTTAATTTAGCATTATCGTATGGGTATCATCGTGCTGAAATTTTGGGTGCACTTGTTTCAATAATCATCATATGGCTTCTCACTGCTTATTTGTGCTATGAAGCGTCCGATCGAATAAATAATCCAAAACTACGTGTGGATGGTCAAACGATGTGCATCACCGCCAGCATCGGAGTTGCCGTTAATATTGTGTATGTTATTCTTTATGTATTTAACGTCATCGTGGAGATCGTAATAATAACGCCTTGATGGTATTTTTTTTAGGTTGATCGCTGTATTAGGACATCATCACGGGCATGGTGAACATGGTGAACATGATAACAATCACAAACACGGAGAAAATGTGAATGTTCGTGCAGCTTTACTTCACGTCTTGGGAGATCTTCTATCATCAGTGGGAGTTTTGATTTCTTCAATAATCATCATATGTGATCCAAATATGGCATGGGTTGACCCATTGTGTACATTTATCTTTTCGGCGCTTGTGATGGCGACCACCTTTGGAATATTGAGAAGTGGCATAAGAGTTTTGATGGAAGGTTGAATGATTGACTTATTTGTTTTTTTTTTAAAATAAATTTTTTTTTCTGACAATGGTTTATCATTTTATTGGTCTCATTTTAAAGCCACCCCGTCACATATCGATTCACATGCTGTGAAATATGATTTAGAACTAATCGAGGGAGTAGAGAGTGTACATGATTTGCATAGTAAGTTAACTATTATGTCAGATGCATGCGGAATGATAATTACAATATTTGAATATCTATTATAAATTAATTGTTGCGAATTTTTTCTTTTTAGTTTGGGATTTAACCATCGGAAGAGTATGTTGTTTCTCTAACTCACGATTATAATCAATGCCATGCTAATTCATAATTGCTTTTACATTAGACTACTCTTACAGCCCATCTTCGCCTTCATGAGTACAACCCCGATGTACAAGCCGAACCTTATGTACCGGCAAAAATATTACATCAAGCAAGGCTTATGCTCAGGAGTAAATACAAAATTTCATCTGTAACGATACAAATTGAGTCGTGAGTCATTACCAGATGGTGTCCAGCATAAACTTGATAGATGATTAGATGCAGCTATCTCCTTTTCTAATGTAAGGGTTGAGGATGTAATCAACATGCTGAAAAGATAATTATCACCCTATACATATAGTGCATTGGGGTACGAATGTATTAGTAGGCAACACTTGAATTATTATTTGCGTACCCGTAGTAAATTGCTGCCATTCAATTACTGTACTATAATAATAAATGTATCCGTTTTTTTTTTTTTTTTGTTTTTTTTTTTTATGCTCAAATAATGTCTTTCGACTAAATATTCAAAAATATTTCTAGTTAAATTGTCTTTTTAACAACCTCGCCCACAACTTGTAAAAATTCTTCGACAGCCCGAGGGGTGATCTGGTAGTGAGTTACCAGGCGAGCGGTGTTACTCTGATTATCGCCGCATATCCGAATCCCACGAGATGCCAGGTGTTCGGTGAGAGTGTCGATGGTGACATTAACAGCAGTGGTGTCGATGAACACCATGTTTGTGTGGACCGGTTGAGTAATGAGAATACCATATCCATGAAGCCCAGTGGCGAGTCGACGAGCCAATATGTGAGATTCTTTTTGTTTGTGAGGAAAATTTGATTCAATTGCAAATTTTGCGGCGGACGCCAGCAACCCGGATTGACGCCAACTTACGTATGACGAATCGAAGATGTTAATTAATTATTCGGAAGATATCAGAGTAAAAAAAAAAAATTAAATTAAGTAAATCACCAACCCCCCGCCAAACAACTTTCTCAAATGCCTAGCTTTCTTAATGAACTCCTCATTCCCCACCAGCACAGATCCGATGGGTGCTCCGATACCCTTGGAACAGCATAAAGTCATCGAATCGAAATATTCGCCATATACGCTCAACTTGATTCCTGTTTCCGCAGAAGCATTCCAAATTCTTGCACCATCCAAATGCATCTTGATTCCTTTCTTTCTAGCTAATTCTGAGATGTTTTTAATCTCGTTAAGTGGTAATATCAATCCATTCAACGTATTCTCCAAAGAAATTACACGAGTGGGCGCATAATGAATGTCATCAGTGCAAATAATGTTGGACGAGACTTCACCAAATGTTAGGTGCATCTTATTGATGGGGTTGAGCGGGGTCACCTGAGCCTGAGAATGATAGGCGATACCGCCGGCTTCGAATGCATAAATATGCGAACGAGAGTCGCACAAGATCGAATGAGGTGGTTGGGAGAGGTGAGAACGAATCGCTATTTGATTTGACTTAAATCAAAGTGTTTAAATCATTGTTGTAAAAGAAAAATATCATGATCATCGTTTAAAGGACTTTTAGATAACAACGTTACCGTACCATCGTTCCTGAAGTCATGAACAAGGCTGCCTTATGTCCCGTCAGGTGCGCGACAAAAGCTTCTAAATCATTTGTAGAATGATCTTCCTATAATAATTTTTTTTAACAGGCAAATTAATGATAGAAATTGGATTCTAGGTCCATCGACAAGTGTCATCTTAACTAAAATGAGCATACACCGAAAACGTCATCACCCCTAGTTGCCTTGATCATGGCTTCAAACATTTGCTCGGTTGGTGTTGTGACTAACATTTTTTTTTTCATGTTAATGTTACAACGTATTCTAGGATGGAAGTTAATTACAGATATAAATTATTATAGCTTTGTTTGTAAAAACCTGTGTCACTCCTAAAATCAAATATTTCACCACTGTAATCCGAAAGCGAACGAGAGGTGACAGGATAGTATGAATAACCTCGGAATGACCCATTGGATAACTGTGACGCCTTCGGTAATAATTTGGATGAATTTTTAAACTTATCAGGAGATTTTAAAATACTGATTAGTATATTAAATGAATCATTAAATAATTTGGATAATTTAAAACTGAGATGGTACATTTCTCGCTTCAAAAATACAAAGATTCTTTTAATTGTATACAAATTTTTTATATCGAGATTTCAACTCGAGTTTATCAAATTGGTTTCCTAATTTGGTTAATCTCGTTTAAAAAACATCTTCGGATATTTAATGGGAAAACTTGAGATTAGTCCGTTTTTCCATTAAACTCCATTATATTGCGTAACATTTTTTGCACGAATCATGTCAACATTCAGCGGATTTAAGTTGACTCTTGACAAGATTTACGCTCTTTTAAAACACGCCAACAACCCACATCTTCGACTATCTGCAATTCATATTGCCGGCACAAACGGGAAAGGATCTACTTCGGCCTATATTGATTTTATTCTCTTAAAATCAAACTTTAAAACCGGCAGATTAAACACTCCCCACCTTTGCGAACCTCGTGATTCCATCAGAATAAATGGCGTGCCAATCACGAAGGAAGATTATCAAAAGACTTATAGCATTATTAAGACAATAGATTCCAATCATAACATTGGTGCAAGTTTGTATGAGCTATTGGTTGCTACGGCATATTGGTGGTTTGATGCTCAACGGGTTGACGTGGCTATCGTGGAAGTAGGAGTCGGAGGACGATTGGATGCTACCAATGTCTTTGATTCACCTATACTCAGCATAATTACCTCAATTGGATGGGATCATGAAGAACTCTTGGGGAACAGCATTGAGGCCATCTCAAAGGAGAAAGCTGGCATCATGAAACCAGATTGCAAAGTCATTATCTCTCCACAAATCGAAGAAGCTGCAATGAAAACCTTGAAAAATTGCGCCATCGAAATTGGTTGTTCACATTCGATTTGTGTCATGCCTGCAAAATGGAGTTCACAAAAGATCGGATATGCTTCGCTGGAGCTCTTGGACAGCGTTCCTATCGAATTTCATGTACCACTGTTGGGCGATTACCAGTTGAACAATACAGCCACAGCTGTTACAGCAATCGATCTTCTGAGGAAGACTGAGGTCAGATTTTCCAAAATCACTGATGACAATATCAAGGATGGGATAGCATCAACACGATGGCCAGGCAGATTACAATATATAGATGTTTCATCCATTTTGGGTAATTCTGTGACCGAGAAGCTATTAGTAGACGCCGCGCATAATCCTCAAGGAGCAAAGTTACTTCGAGATTTTATCGATAAACTTTTGCAAAAGAAGGACATTCAAAAAGTTCATTGGATTTATGCTGCTACCAGGGGAAAAGACGTACGAAAATGTCTTGATTTGCTGCTAAGAGATGGTGATACAATGATCGCCAACACATTCTCGAAAGTTGAAGACATGCCATGGGTCAATTGCTGTGAGACAGAAGACCTTGTCACATGGACAAAGGAATTGAACCGAGAAATCAATATCAGTACTGCGAAAAACCTAGTAGATGCACTGCAGCAAGTATACGGTAGGTATGAGAAAGAGGGTGGAGTTGTAGTTATGTCCGGAAGTATATATCTGCTCGCAGATTTGTACAGATTGCTTGAGATAAATGAATAATAGCAAATACACAAAGGTTCTCATAAAAAGTCATTGTAATCATCTGTTAAGTCAGAGCTATGAAGAAACGACTATATTAATGTGTGCTCTCTCGGAAATTTAAACTATGTACTAAATCACGTTACACGGTGTCCCTCATTTATAAATAATCATCTTTACATATCTGTGATAGACAATACTTCTCTTTCAAATGTTTTGTTATAGAAACTTTCTAAGATCAACAGGAAAATCGATGTATTTTAACAATTTCATTGGGCCAGTCGATAATAATCACTTAAGCATAGTATGGAATCGAATGAACACTTGTAATCTTCCAACGAATCTTCGGCGGATCGCACGTCGTAGGTTTCTCTCGACGGATAATTGCAATGAAAAAAGTGTTTGTACGATCTTTGATCATTCGCTTATGCTTTGGAGGTGCAAGTTTGCAATTCGAACACATCAAGATCCATCATTCATCTGGCAACTAATATTATACCTAATCAGACGAGATAATTTATTTAAACGTGAAGATCTATCCTTGAAAGAAATAAGGCAAATATTGATGGCCAATTCCACGAGAGGATTCACTCATCTCAAGAAGAGTCACATACATGCTTGCATACTATTGCTGCAATCCTTATACCGTCGCGATCAGGTGTTAGACAAATTTACTCTTAAGGAAATCAAAGAATACTATGGGATCAATTCCTTTTCCCTAAAAAAGATCCAAGAAAGCATGCAGGTTCAAGGTGCCAATCTGACTTTTATGACATTGCAATATCTGATCAGAACACAGTGCGAATGGAAGTCCGGAACTCTAAAGGGTGCAATATTCTGGATGGATGTAATGGAGGATCTAGGATTTTCGCCCACACTTTTGGAATACACCAATATCATTTATAGAAGCATTGAATTAGAAGATTACGACGTCGTTCGTAGGTACATACAAAAATTGATTGACGCCGGATTGAACCCAACTCTAAACAACATAGATGTGGTTCTTAGATTCTCCGAAAGCAATCACAAATTTAGATTAGTTGAATCGTCGTTTCAGCAATTTTTTTATGAGGGATATTTCGAGTACACCAGTGATAATTACAATTGGTTACTCTTCCGATACGCAAAAAAAGACAAAAGAAATCGAGCAAAGAAATATTTTGACGAGATGACCGTTGAGAAACGATTATATCCTGACACTTTGACGTTTCAATCTTTGATAGCTGCTGAAATTGGATTCTATGGAGAGCGTAAATCATCTGTTAAAAGACTAGAAACGTCAATTAACCTTTACAAAACTATGCAAAACAAGTACATATTGAAGCCAAATTCCTTTATCTATTTTTCACTGTTGAATAGAATAATTGATCCCTCACCAGACATTAAATATCCTAACGGTGCAATGGAAGATTACAGTATAATTCGTGAGTTGACCGTGGGATTGTTGTCCTGTTTGACTCCAGATTGTCAAATTCTCGATAAGATATCAAACAATTTCCTGAAAAAACTTTTTTCGACGCTTTTACTTCACAATTATCTACACGAAGCACAGCTAGTGTATCAAGAACTTCGACATCGGAATCCAAACAAAAACGTAAAGGGTGCAAAGGAGCTATTAGATGCTTTCGCGAAATCAGGTGCCCCAAATTTAGCAAGAAACGTTTTTCACGAAATGGTCTCTTCAGGAGTCCAACCGGTATCAAAGTATTATGGACTAATACTCGAAGGGTATCTTAATAACAACGATCTCATGTCATCCTTACAATTTTACGAAATCATTAAAGAGCATGAGATAATACCAAGCGAAATAAACTATTTAATTCTTATAAGGACACTGATATATCACCGAGAGATTGAGAAAGCAAATGAAATTTTTAGGGATGCTTTGCAACATTACGGAAAACCATGCCTACCAATTTTTAACACGTTACTTCATGGGTATTTTATAGCGGCTGACAATGAATCGGCACAAACATTGTTGAACGAAATGATCTCCAAATATGGTGTAGAACCTAACGTGGTTACTTACAATGTGCACATCCAAGGATATATCAATATGAAGTGGAGTAGCCTTGGTGGAATTCAAAAGATCTATGAAAAGATGAAGCAAGATGGTATTAAACCGGACAGCATCACGTTTAGAAATTTAATATTGGTGTGTTTAAAACACGGAAACATCGGTTTGGCAAAAGATTATTTTAAAGAGAATGTAGAGGCAAAAGTTGAAGTGAACTTTCGGAGCGGAATTACCTTGATGAATTATTTGGTAATTTCGGGGGAGAAAGATGGGGACCATATGAATTTTTGTTGGGGGATATATGAAGAGTTGAAAAAACAAGGAAAGGTGGATAAACAAGTTTTCGAAACTTTATTGTATGGATCTCGGAAATTTGAAGATTGGAATATGAGAAAAAGGATTGAAAAAGAAATTGAAAGATCTGGATTCAACATAGACGAAGGATTTGCTTTTGCAGAAAAAAATGAGGTTGTAAGTTTGTTAACTTCGGAATGAATCAATATTCAGGAAGGAACGATTATTCTTTTGAAACAACATTTCAGGAATGAATACCTTAGACTGGTGCGTTAACAGTTACATAAAGTATAACAATATAACATGAAATCATTGAAACCAATCTTGTAATAGTAAATAAATGCTAAAAGAAACATGTGTGCGAATATAAATTTTTTATATATTTATTTAAATATTTCTAAACATGATATTAAAGCAATTTTTTTTTATATAATAATGTTTAATATTTTTTAATTTAAAAAAAAACCCCCTAATTTTTTTTTTTAATAAAACTTGCATACAAGCTATTGTTAATACAAAAAAGATATATTATAATAGAAAATTTTCAATTTTCTTAAATTTTTTTTACATCATACATTTACATTTGTTTAAAATATTATTATAAAATATAATAACAATAATAGCAACAATAATAATAACAAGTCATAAATTAACAAATGCTTCAATTGTTTATAAATATTTCATTAAAAAAAAATTAGAATAAAATATTTAACATTCTCATTTTTACTTTAAAAACTTGTTTATCATTAATTAGAATTAAAAAGCATTTGAAATTATTGAATTAACAAAACCAATATTATATTATTTAGAAAATTTTATAAAAATTATATATGTACAATATGAATTAAAATAATTGAATAATATGTCAATTTTTATTTTTGTGATATTTCAATAATTAATTATTTAATTAAAAATATAAAAAATAAGTTTATACAAAATTTTATATATTAATTTGGTTTTTTGTTTTTTTTTTTATAATCAGACAAGTATTTATAAGTTTATTTAATCTTAATACAGAATATATAATAGTTTAATTACTTTTATATACAAACTTTTTAAATATAATACTTAAATACCTATTTTAAATAAAATTATCTTTAAATATAATCTTGAAAATAAATAAAATTACTTATTCTAATATACTTATCTTGAAATATATTTTGAAATCATTGTTTACAATTTATTACTACAATTTGTCTTTTCAAAATCTTAATTATATTTTATATTTTTAATTATTTTTTTTCTTTTTTGATCTTGTTTTAATAAAGTTTTTTGAATTTTTTTATAAATCTTTCTTTTTTCTTTTTATTACTTGACAGATTATTTTAATTGACTTTTTTTCTATTAAAACTTGAAAATAATAAACAAAATTTTTAAATAATTTTTTTTTTTTATAGTTTGCCAACTTCTTTTTTTTTTGAAAAAATTTGATAATCTTGATAATTTTAATGATATTATTGACTCTATCTTTTTTTTCTTAATCTATATCTTAAAGATTTCTTATATTTTTGAACCTTTTACATCTAAAATTCCATATATATATATTATTTTAGGAACTAGAAATCTTAGCAATTTGAAAACTTGTTTTTTATAAATTAATATTTAAATTAATTATCTTTTTGATAAATTTAATGTTTTTGTTTTTTTATTGTTTTAAAAATTGAAAAATTTTCTTTTAATTTGATTTATTAAAAATAAAATATTTAAGAATTCATGTTTTTAAGAGCTTTTCTTATAGATACATTCATATTATATATATATATATTTTAGTTTTTTTGTATATTAAAAAATAATTTGATATTTTTTTTTTATCTTGCAAAATACATATTTTATATGTCTATTATAATTTGTTTTATTATATTCAAATATGTTATCCAGTATAAGAAGTTTGTTATAAATAAGTTTAATCTTAAATATTCCATTTTTTATTTGTTTAAATGAAGTACTTAGTATATTTTTTTTCTTATAATATTTTTAAAATTTTTTTTCAATTAATTTCTTTTAAATTTTTATTTTTCTCTTTCTATCTAACTTAAATTTTGTTTTAATTAATTTATTGAATTAGTATTTTTTTCTTATATAAGTTCTTAACAAATAATTTTATTGGGATATCTATTGAGATATTATTCTAAAAAAAAGATTGAAATTAAAAAAATTTTTTAATAATTCTTTTCAAAAAAATTTCTATTCTTTCTTAATTACTTTAACCAACTGATAAATTTGATTATTGACTATATTTTTATTATATACTTTAACTTTGATTAATATTACTTGAATTTTTTTTAATATTGTATATAACATATATATTTAAAATTACTAATTGAAAATTGTTATTTTTTTTTGATAATATTTTTTTGATAAAGATTTTTTAACTTTTAATGTATATTAATATAATTGATATTATTTGTTTTAATTTCTATTTTGTTTTTATTTGATATTGTTAAAACTATCAAAAAAATTGTTATAAGTTGAGTTCTTATTAATAATAACCAATTGTCTATTTTAGTTAAAAAATATTTTTGGGATAAGATTTCTTAATTTGAAGCCAGGCTGCATTTATTTAACTATTTAATTTTGAATTTTATCTATAAATTAGTCAATATAAAATTGATGTTTTTTAATATTAATTATTTTATTAAGTTTATATTTTATGCTTAATTTTTAACTTGATTTAAAGTTTATATGTTTTCTTAAATAATTTAAATTCTACAATCAATTATTTTTATATCTATAAATTTGTTTAAAGTTTGAAATCTAATTTATTTTAAGCTTTCAAATATATAAAATTTTATAAGAATATATAATTTTTTGTTTTTTTTTAATTTAATAATCTTGTTAATTCAATTGAATAACAGTAATAATTTATTTTTAAAAAAATTTGTTAAACTTGAATTTGTTTGAATAAGCTTTGTCAAACCAATACTTGTATTAAATATTTGAAAAACTTTTGTTTCTTGACTTGTGAAATTATTAATTTCTTTGCTTCTATATTATATAAGATAATTTTTTTTCAATAATTATACTTACTATTTTTATTTTTTTATTTTAACATATCCATTTTTTGTTTTTATAATTTAAATTATGAATTTTAAACTTATTAATTATGTGTTCTTGAACTTTTGTATATCAATGAAATTTAAATTCTTTATTGTTATAGGAAAAAAGTAATAAGTAAATTATAGGAAATTATAAAGATAGATACAAAAATAAGTATATTAAATAATAAAGTCTAGCTTGGTGAAAAAAATTCCAATGTTGTATAGTAAAAGAAATTGCTATATATGATGTAACTAGTTAGAATACAAAATAACAAACTGATCTACAGTGTGAGTCAAAATTATTGGAAAAAATTTTTTATTAATAAACTTTACAACTATCAAAGCAATTTAGACGAGCC